TTACCTTAAGTCTACGACTACGTCAGTCTTAAGCGCTTACGGATAGTTGTCTGCCATCAGCCTTAAGCTGATGACAGAGAACAATCCGTAAACGCTTAAGACTGTCTCAGTCGTAGACGTAGGGCAAGGCAGAGAGAAACGTAAGTCGTGAAAGACTATTGTGTACGACTTACGTCTCTCTCTGCCTTGCCCTACGTCTACGACTACGTCAGTCTTAAGCGCTCACGGATAGTTCTCTGCCATCAGCCTTAGGAAGCGCAAAAAGAAGCGGACCTCGCGGCGATGGATCTTTCTCACACCCGAAGCCTCCCGCATGCGAAATGAAACGAGGACTTTAAAGGACAAGAGGCGAGGAAAGTGGCGAGGGGCGCGCAGCGCGGAGAGCGGTGCGTGCGTGTGGTCTTCATCGTGCGTAGGGAACGTAGGGAACGTTTGACAATTGATTTTCCTTCGCGGGAGCACATCCGGGAGTCCCCGGGAGCGGCGTGGACCGCGCGCGTTCAATTCCTCCGCCGTTAGGCTGCCGTGCACACTGGACGCCCAGGGAAGCGCGCGGCGGGAAGCTCTACGAGACGTTCGGCGAGCTACGACCCTCATGAGAGAACACCGGGACCGGCTTTCCACAAAGGAAGGAGGAAGAAAGAGCGCTCGTTTCAATGAAAGAGCTCTCCCTCGAGAGCGGCTGTGACTAAAAAGGCCCTTGTATCCCGGTGACGAGTTGCTTGTCCCGCCGTCAGTTGTTGGCCCGCATTGTTTTATGGGCCTCGGGTCGTTGAGATATTTGTCCGCTCAGGAGAAATCCCGGAATCCCGTCTTCCGGAATCGCCCGAGAATCTTGGCCTCGAGAATTTCGGGCGAACGAGAGATTTCCTCGGACGGGCATGGAGCAACGGGGATATGTTTGTTTAGGATTTTCACACGGAAGCGCGCGTTCCCCCTAGCGATAATAGCGCATTTACTTATTTGTACTAGTTGTAGTACGACGTGTATAAACAGCGCTCACGATGTAACCGAGCTATCGGATTTGCGTGGAGTTTTAAGATTAAACTCTTAGCGAGAGATCGGCAAGATCCGCAGCGTAAAAATATCTCCATAAGAAAAAAAGGTAACGCGTGAGTGCCCGAGAATAAGGTCAAAGTTTACGTGTATGAGGAACGACACGGGGAATACAAAAGGCTTTATATTACGGGATCTTCCGTAGAGAAGTTGCCCAGGTGGAGAATATATCTCGCTCTCGGGTGAATAGTGTATGAAATTCCGTGTGAAAGTCTCAGATCGGAGGGTGCCATATAACCAACAGAAGTCCTGAAAGTTCACCAATACTCAAAATAATGTGAAACCAGTAACGGCGACGCAAGAAGTAGGGCGGGTGCCCTCTCGCCTCTGTAAGAAATCACGCTCGATTGAATGTTTTGTGTATTATTTCGCGCTTTCGACTTGGAAGCAGCCAACAAATTATACTCGAAGCGACGAGAGATTCAACGGCGACAATACAAGATACGAACGTTGCTTAAAGAGACAATTATCGTCCGTTGTTATCGCAATGAAGAAGTAATTTCAAGTTAGCTAGCGCTTTGATTTTTTCGACGTACATATTTCATGTGTGAATCGCGCGAGATATCTGTCTTGCCGGTTAACCGAGCCTCGATAGTAAGGATTCAGCGATCACGCGGCGATATCGATCGCAGAGAGCGATCGCGGTTTCTTCCCGTACTTGTCGCGAACGGGTATCAAGCAAGAATCGTACGATATGCGGAGTGGCGCGGGTGCAACCGACTCGTTCGACTGTCGCCACGTGAATGGTCTTGCGTACGGCGCCGTAAACACCTTTTCCGAAAACCGAGCGTGGATTTCAAGAAATGACGTAGCGCCGTGAACACCTCGGTCGGAAACAATAGGCTTGTTTCCTGTTGCTACACTGGTGAACTAGTGCAATAAGTTAGAGTAAGACAAGTATATTTTTTCTCATTCCAACTTGCTGCACTAGCTCACCAGTGCAGGAACAGAAAACAAACCTAATCTATTGAGCCGAATCATTCGGCGCGGATTAGTCGAGCGAAGCGGATGTTCCGTGTGTCTTCGCGTCGCTCCTCGTAAGCAACGCGATTGTCTCGTACGAGACCGTAATCATATCGTTGATTTCCACGGTGATTTGTCGAAAATATCACGCGTAATTTGAAGAGAAAATGCGATAAGGGAATTATATATGTATATAAATTATTAGGTAGTTCCAAAACTTATATCCACGAGCGGTAATACCTTTTTTACAATCGAACTCGGATGAATCTCTCTCATCGTGCTTTAAAATTTTCGCCGGTTCAAGTTAAACATCATTTATTGGTTTCATCGTGAATTTATTGTCCTTGGAGTGGAATCTGTTCAGTAGGAAATTCATTGTTAGATCCTGTAATCGTGAGTAAAGATTTGTGATTAAATTTAGATATTGGAAACCTATCTCATATTAAAAGACTATCTCATAATAGAGGACTTCCTCTATATATTTCGATAAATTATATGTTTAATTCT